GAAATGATGAGCCCAGTTTTGGACATAGTAGTTTAAGATGCCGGCATAACAATACCAATTGGAGTATTTTGTAGGCAATTAGAGATGCCAATCTGAAACATGAGCTACTGTGCAGTGTTTTCCAGAGAGGCCAGTACATAAATGGCTTATCTAAAGTCCTACAACAAGTTAGTGACAGTCGATTAGAAATTAAGTTTCTTGATAACTGTTCCATTGTTCTTGCCACCATACTATTCTGTGCTGAGGATTTTGGCTATCTTGTTGGCAGTGAAACACTATTGAAGGTTTTTGGGCCTCGTGTTAGGACACGGAGAAAACTATTTTAGAAAGCATGATCTGGCTGCAGGATGGTCTGGAGGTCATGAAACTGATTAGATTGACTTGTGATCGTCAGGAAAGGTTAGAAAACAATTAACTTTTTTCTCAATTCATAGCATCCTACAATTTTAATAACTGATCTGTTTTAGGAATGTTAAGGTATGGTTTTTTTGGTGAGGCAGTTGGGGTTAAGTGACTTGCCCAGAGTCACACAGCTAGTGAGTGTTGTATTTCTGAGGCCAGATTTGAACACTCGGGTCCTCCTGACTCCAGGGTTGGTGCTCTATCCACTGCGCCACCTAGCTGCCCCTGTTAAGGTGTCTTGTGTAGGTCCAGAGGTCCAAGTTAGCACCTCATTGCTACCAGCTTGTGAACCCCAGGTCACTGTGACTAACAGTAATATCATACTGAGTAATTTTTGTTAATGTCAGTGCAGTGGGCACTCTTTTGAAAACCAGCAGTGTGGAGATGCTAGGGGCACAAAAAGGAGCCTGTAATGGGATTCAGCAATTTACTAAATGCCGGCATTGAGCTAGCATTTAAAAAGGCCAAGGCCTCCCACTCTATCTGGGGTCATCTCCAGTTGTCCTGCTCTAAATCTTGCCACTGGGCCCAGGTGGCTCCAGAGGAGAGAGTGAGGCTGGTGACTTTGCACAGCCTTGCCTCACTTAAATCCAGTTCACTTGCAAGTCATGACACTCCTTCCTTATGTCATAGTCTTCTTTGAGGACAAACAACAAGGCTGCCTGGACAGGAGTAGTACTGATTACATAACCCTCCAAAGCTTTAGAAGCTTTGTATCCTCTTCAGGTTCCTAGCAAGTCCTTGGACTTGTCCAGACTATTCCAGGTGTGGACTTCCTACCTCACTCGACCAAGGAACTAGACATACCTCCTTGTCAGCTTGAACCTGTGTTTTTTCTCATATACTATTTGTGACTGTGAGGAATATACCTTAGCATATTGAGAATTTGTGCTAGTGTTTTGGGCAGTGAATGACTACAATGCCAGCATATTCTTTGTCATAATAACATGTTAATGGTGAGGTTCCTGCAGATGAAATACCAAGCCACAACAGTTTCTTTTAATGTTCTAATTTTTATTGATAGCTTCTGATTTTTATACCCATACCACTTTAATTTCCAAATATCTCTCTCCCACTTCTATTCAGAGAACTAGTCATTTTAAACAAGATAGGAGGTGGGGGAGGGGGGGCAGTTCAGCAAGACTCAATTAAGTGCCTGACAGTGTATTTAATGTTCCACCCCCACAGTCTCCCAATCTCTGCAAAGAAGAATGGTACATTTTTCTTTTTAATGTTTGACATTGAATAGAATTTTAAGTGCAAGCAGCACTTTTTAAAATGATGTCTTTAATGTGTAATGAAATGGAAAGCCTTGTATAGTACTTGCATGAGGGTTCGGGTTTCTCATCAAAACTCTTCTGTAATAACCTTTTACATTCTAAATAACATCCTGGCTCATAGGCTGAGTTAATGAAGTAACATTCATAGACCAGAACATGGGGGAAATATTTTCTTGGCCCTGTTTCCTTAAGGTGAGTTCAGTAGCATGATAGCAGTCAAATAGTTTTGCAGGCACCAGGGAAGGCTGTGGTTCCAGAATTAATCAGTGAAGGAACAGAAAGATGGTAGGATTGATAATTATTTTTTCTGTCTCTCCATTCTATGTAGCTGATGCAGTGTAAGTAACAGGTGATGGTTTGATATTTTCAGAAGCCCTCTAACAGTGAAATTGGAACTTTTGCTTTCTGGAAGCCTGGCTCATCAGCCAATGCCAACATTGGCTAGCATTGCCAAAACCCACTCTTTTCATCGGTGTCTAAGGCTGTGTGGGAGATGGACTACACAGAAATTTTTGCAGCATTACAGTCTCCTGTTTTTCACCAGTTTAGTACAGCCTTCTAGTTTTGTGTCTTGGTGTGAAGACCCCACTGAAGATACACAGCTCAGGCTAGGGTCTTTACTCCTAAGGAATAGTTTCGGCCTTGTCAGTTACCTGTGGCAAGGCGAAGAGGGGAGGCCTCCTATTTTTTCCCTAAGAGAAGCACTTTTACAGAACTGTCTAATCTAGGCAGGTATGCTATGTGGCACTGTGTCCGTAGCTTTAGGATTTAGAATCTGCAAAGAATTCTAAAAGCTTCCGCTTTTGGATTCTTTTAGGATAGGTAGATCACTATTGTACTGATGTATTAAAAACTCCTTGGTTGACCCTTTCAGAGTTATGTACAGACACTGATATTTTCCCAGCACAGACCTGTGACTTCATTGATGTAGGGAAACCCCCTCTAAGGTGGCAGATTAGCAGCTCATCTGTAACTTGGAGCCTTAGAGCAGTGCTGGGGGCTTTGAGAGCAGAAGTCAGTCAGCAAGTATTTATTAAGTGCTTTCTGTGTGCTAGGCACTGGGGAATTCAGAGGAGGGCAAAAATAGTCCCTGCCCTTGAGGAGCTCACAATCTAATGGGGATATCTGCATCCCTACAAGCTATAAATAAATGGGAAAGGCCCTTTTCAGAAGGGAGGACTGAGCTTAGTCTTGAAGGAAACCATGAGCCGGGAGGCAGAGATGATAAAGATAGTATTGGAGGCCTGGGGGGCAGCCAGGGAAAAGGCAGATTCAGGAGGGATTGAGTGTCATATGTGAGGAGAATCTAGAAGGCCCATGTTGGTGTATGTTAGAGTACTTGGGGGAAAGTAGGGAAGAGGCCAGGCAATGCAACGATGGCTTTCACAGCCAAACAGGATTTTAGATTTGCTTCTGGAGATAACAGGGAGACACGGGAGTTTGGGTAGGGGTGACGTGGTCAGACCTTTGCAGACAGTGACTCGTCCGTGATCATGCTCACTTTGTTAAACAGGCTGTGGTGTTGCTCTGGGTTCTGTGTTATAGCTCAGCTTGGCATTGTGGCATGTTCAGCGGATCTCTCCTTCCCCAGTCACCTTGTTTGCTTCAGTCTGGCATGTTGATGCTTTCAGGAGTTCTTGAGGTCCAGCACAGGCCAGCTGTTTATTCCTCCCCACTCCCACCACATTTCTCTGGCATACACGTAGTAAGATACCTTATCCTTCAGGAATTATACTGTGAAAGTGTGAGTGGCAGTTTGCTGTCTTCTCTGCCACGAAAGTCTTCATTGTTAGTCTCCTCAGCTAGATGACCCTGTGTATAGAGCACTGAGCCTGGATTCAGGAAGACCTGAGTTCAAATCCAGCCTCATACACTGACTAGCTGTGTGACCCTAGGCAAGTCAACTTAACCTTTGTCTGCCTCAGTTTCCTCAATTGTAGAATGAGGAGAAAAATAGCACCTACCTCCCAGGGTTGTTGTGCAAATCAGGTGAGATAATATTTGTGAAGGGCTTAGTATAGCGCCTTGCATATAGTAGGAGCTTAATAAATTCCGTTCCTCCCTCCTTTTCTTCCTCCCTTTCCTCTCCTCCCCTTATCTTCCCCCCTTCTTCCCTTTGCAACTAATCACACAGCCCTAGAACTGTGAGAGACTTTAATGATCATCTTAATCCAACCCCCTAGCATTACAGATGAGAAAACAGGAGAAGGGAGCTTCAGTGATTCGGCGGTGATTGCACAATGGGGTCAGTGCAAGAAATGGCTCCAGAGGAGTCCAGGCTGCCTGATCCACAGTTTGGCGCTCTTTCTGTGATGACATCCTTATCTTCTTTTCATTTTTCTTTTATCTCTTGTCTTCTCTTCTTAGCCTTTGCTCAGAAGGGTCAGCCTTATGTAGACCTCACCAGCCAATCAGAATTCCAATCAGGTCTCAGTGAGCAGTTCAGAGGCAGCATTCCCTTACCATGAGCAAGGACTAGATTCAATTCCTGACCCACACAGGTGTCTTTTAAATTTAATTTAATTATTTTTTTTCAGAGAAGCAGCATAGTGTGGTGGATAGAGGGCTGTATTGAATGTCAGAAAGACCTCAGGTTCTTAGAATCATGCAAGTCACCTACCTCTCTCAGCCTCAGCTTACTTACTCAATTGTATAGTAAAGGGGCTAGAATAGATGGCTTCTGTCTTGAACTCTTTGATTATCATCATATTCCTGTGATTCAGTGATCTGTTAGGTCTTTTAAACTGTATTCATTTACTTCTGAGTCTCAAATGGTCAGATGTGGGTTTCTTCCTGACACTTCTCACTTATTTTCTTGTCCAGTGCTGTTCCACAAGCCTGATGTCTGTACTATAACTTCACATTTAAATCCGTTCTGGATAAAAATATGTCAGCGTGGCATTATGCTGGGGAAGCTCACACTGCCCAGGATAAATCAGTGCTCATACTCATCAGCTGTAAGGCTGTGTTTCATTTTAATATAAATACGTCATTTCAAAGACTCATATGGAATGAGTTTTATACATACATAAATGCATGAGGACTTTAAATGTTTCATATTTGGGGAACTGTGAGTAAGTGAAATGGAAGGGCGGTGAGTTCTTCCTGAAAACTGTTGTTTGTTTTTTTCTGTTTGAATTGCTCTTTCCCAGTTATAATTAATTGTATTCTGCCCTAAAAAAAAAATCTATATGTTAATCAAAGAGTGCATTTGACTAAAACTTGTGAGATACCAAATTTAGATTTTCTGACCATTTTTTTCTGGAAAGTTTTATATGAGAAAAAGCATTAGTATTTAATTTTTTCATTTTTATAAAGATTATTGCTGAAGAAATCTGGTTGTAGAACACCACGAATTGAATTGGAAGAAATGGGACCATCGCTGGATCTGATTATGAGGAGAACCTATTTGGCATCAGATGATCTTTATAAGTTATCTATGAAATTGCCTAAAGCCCTGAAGGTATGTAACTTGCCAAAAAAAAAAAGTGCTTCAGATTCTTGCAAAATATGGCCTCTGTTTTTTTGGGTTTTGTAAAATAAACTTTAGAAAAAGAATGTGGTTGGAATCCCATAATGTTGATGGTATCTTTACACTGAAAAGTATAACAGCAGGAATGGCATTTTGTGGTGGGTAGTGGAACAGCTAGGGGGCTGATTATCATAAGGAGCACAGAACAGACCTCATTGCTTTATAGCCACCCACATATCTTTTCAAGGTTTGGTCTCTAGATTCATAAATAAAGAGTAAGACCCATAAGGAGAACAATGGAGGGCTTCTGAGGAGGAGAGAAGGCCTTTGGACAAGTTTCTTGCCATGTGCCAGATTATGAGAAGGCTTCATCTTGTGGTCACTGTGTTTGTGGAATACTAATTTCCAGCTATATACCTTCTATCATAACTGTTTTGTTGTAATATAGAAGTTATAGAGGCACAGTATAAACTAATGAATATTTGGAAAGATGGTGTAATTTTTTTTAAAAGGAACAGAGAAGATAAATAATTTGGTTTTTATCTAATGACTGGAAAAGCCCTCTTGATTTGATGACTCTTGTATCTTGACAGTTGTTAAGGCCTAGTAGGTGTTTAATAAATAATTAATTGATTCCTATAAACTTCTTGAATTTTCTTTGACCAAGTTGGGTAGCCACTTAATTGTAAAGTCTGAGCTCAACTTTGTTTGTGGGGTTGACAAATCTTGTGGTTCCAGCTCCTGTGCATGAATTTGTTCAGGGCATTTTTTTGAGAGTTTACTTAGCTTTCAGAATAATTTTGAAAACACGAGTGTGGTCACTATTGGTGGAAAGAGCTGGAAGTCAATTGTCCTGACTTCTGGGGCCAGTTTTCTTCCTGATTAGTTAGTTAGTTGTATGACCCAAGTGAATCACATAACCCCTCTAATCTCAAGTTTCCTATATTCTGAAATGAAGGAGTTGTACTGGGTGATTGTTGTTAGAGTCCTTCCCAGCTGAGCAGTTTGTAATCTTAAGAAGTTATAAAACATCATAATCTTCTTTAGGCATAACATTTCCAAACTGTTTTTGACATTGTGGATCTTAGATATAGAGCTAAGATTTAGATCTGGAGAGGACCTTAGAGGTCATCTCAGCCAACCTCCTAACTTTAGAAATGAGGAAAACTCAGGCCCCCAGAAGTAAAATTGCCCAAGAACTAAGTGGCAGAGTTGACTTTTGAATGCAGATCCTGTGATTCCAGATCCAGCTGTCTCTCCACTAAACTGCAAACCCCATATTTTTGCCTGCCTCAGACATAAATGAAAACTGACTAAAAGGTCATTTTTATTTTAGGCTGATAGAGCCACATGTCCAACCACATTTTACTACCTATCATGAGTAGTATTCCTACCATGCGATATGCCCAATTTCTTTGGGCTCTCAATAGAATAGAATAAAAATTGCCTGTGTGATATGAGAGAAGAGGGTATTTTTGTGTGTTTTCGTGAGTGAGTAATCAAATACTGCAGCGGAGATCGTTTTGGGACCCATGGAGACTAGGAATTGTAGGCAGTTGTACATGTGGACCAGAGGGCGTGGACAACCTCGTTTGTAGATTTATCTTTCAAGCTTAAAAATAAATTGGATATTTGCTGTCCCTGTAAGGGCAGGGATATTGATAGGTTTCTTGAACCTCTTTAGTTAAGGTTCTCTATATTTGTGAATGACTTGGACACCCTGTAGCACCCAAAGTATGCTCAATAAATGTTCATTAATGGAAACCCTGCTAAGGTGTCCTGCCAAAGACCAAGTCTTTACTATTTAATGCCAGTAGAAATTGTAAAAGGAAATTTTTTTTTATTTTGCAGCCAAAGAAGAAGAAAAATGTCTCCCGTGATACTTTTGGTACAACTTACGGAAGAATTCACATGCAGAAACAAGATCTGAGTAAATTGCAAACAAGAAAAATGAAGGGGTTGAAGAAAAGACCTGCAGAAAAGTTAACTGATAAGCAAGAAAATAAACCTAAGAAAATTAAGAGGAGAAAAATCGATTCAATTTAGTCTAGTTGGCTGTTATTATATTTTACAGGAAAGAATTGTCAGATGTAAACAATACTATAAACATTATTACATGGATCTATTATATGTGTGTGGCTTTTTTATTAAATGGTGAATGTATAATTTACATTAATGTATTGTAAACTCCTTGAGGCAGGACCTGTCTTATTTTATCTTTGTATCTCAAGTGCCTATGTAGTGCCTTGTAATAGTAAGGCACTTAATAAATGTTTGCCAAATAAAATTTTATGATCATTCTTATAACTATTGATATGAAAAGAACATGATGGTGTAAGGGCTTAAAATAAATGCAGTTTGCTTTATATTTTTTTGGATAAATGTGTACTCTTGCTCTATTTGTCATCTATACTACTTAAGCCTCTGCAGGATCTGCCCATATGTAAATATGTGCACGTTTAAATGTATATATAAAGAGAGAATCTGTAGACTCAAAATTGGGAGGGAAGATGTGCAAGGTGGAAAAAAGAAAAGAAAGCTGACTGTGGGCCAGGACATCTCAGGCATCTGCTTAATGGTTGCCCCCCACTCCAAAATATTGCTCTCATACTGAATTGTTTGTGTTTGTTTTTTCATTTTAGTTGTTATACCACCTGAAAGTCCAGCAGTTATCCAACAGTCCAACAAATCAATTTGATTTAACAAGCAACTTCTTCTAAAAATCTGCTATCTCTGGCAGAAGGGTTGAGTTAATTCACAATTTGTCCATTTTGGAAAGCAATTTGAAACTACACTCAAAAAGTTGCCATTTATGTATGTACCTTTTGACACACCAATATTGCTGTTAAACCAGTGCCCCAAAAAGATCAAACAAAGAGGAAAAGGACCAATCCTCTTGTCAGAAAAGTGATAGACTGGAGGATCAGAAAGAGACATATGTTTTTTGGACAGAACCATGTACTGTGGGAATTTGTTTTACTTGACTACACATTTGTTCATGGGGTTTTGGTTTTATTTTTCCCTCACTGGGGCGGAGGGGAGGTGGGAGGGATAGAAAGTGAATTTTTGTTAATTTTAAAAAATAAAATTTTGAAAGTTAATTCACAGTATAATTTGGTGGCATTATTTTCTGTCTTTTTGCTGTGATCTAGACTTATGAAAAGTAAGTTTTGATTGAGGAGAAAAGCATGAGGTAGAAGTAGGTAATTTTGGAGGATGAAGTAATTCACGGTAAAGGAAAATGGAGGACGGGCTGTGTAAGGTAGTTAGGCTAGTATTGAGCATACATGATTTCCAAATTAGGTTGTTTTTTTTTTAATTAACAAATTGCTTCTTTTCTTTCTCCTTTCCTCTCACCTCTTACCCCTGCCACTGAAAAAAGAAAAAGAAAACCCTTATAACAAATATGCATAGTCAAGCAAAACAAATTCCCACATTGCCATGTCCAAACAACATGTCTCATTCATTGTGCACTGAGTCTATCATCTCTCTGTCAGGAGGTAGGTAGCATGCTTCATCATTGGTCTTCTGGAATCATGGTTAGTCATTGCATTGACCAGAGTTCTTAAGTCTTTCAAAGTTGTTTGTCTTCACAGTGTTATTCTTAGTGTAAAATTCTTCTGGTTTTGTTTACTTCACTCTGCATCAATTTACACAAGTATTTCCAGGTTTCTCTGAAAAGTATCCCTCTTGTCATTTCTTGTGGGGACCATATGGAGAAGGAAATGGTAAACCACTCCAGTATCTTTGCCAAGAAAACCCCAAATGGGGTCATGAAGAATCAGACACGACTGAAAACAATAATATGGCAGACCAGGTTAAAAGGGCCACTAATAAATGGAAGAATGAATGAATGAATGAAAAAAGCATTTATTAATCACTTTTGTGCAAAATACCGTGCTAAGTGTTGGGAATACAAATGGAAAAGCAGGACAGTGCCTATGCTCAATGAGCTCGCATCTTAATGGAAACAGTATATAGGAAATTTCAGCCATAATTCGAATGGAAAAGTCCCATGAGTTTCCTTTCTTGTCATTTCTACTGATTGTTTCTGGAATGGAACCATTTGAGAGTGCCAAGGACTTTGATGGCAAAGAACTTTCTTTTCTGTGTCTTCAGTAGTTGTGGCAGCTGGGAAGGTGTTACTGTAGCACCTGCAAAAACAATTTCTGGGGGCAGCTAGGTGGCGAAGTGGATAGAGCACCAGCCCTGAAGTCAGGAGGACCTGCGTTCAAATGCGACCTCAGACCAAACACTTGACACTTACTAGCTGTGTGACCCTGGGCAAGTCACTTAACCCCAGTTGCCTAAAAAAAACACCAAACAATTTCTGGCTCCCGACATGGCCTGCTTTCTAGTTGATGACTGTAGGGGCTAGACTGGAAGCAAGATCTGTGGCCTAGGGAGGGCTGCTATTCACAGGCTTACCCATCCATCAGTAAGCAGTTGGTGGTGGTAGTGGCAAGGAAGGTGGACCCCTTCTCTTCACAGGTGTTGTAGACAAAGATATGCCTCATCTATTTCTGTTGCTTGTGGCAACCATATGTCCAGAGAAAGCCTGTATCCTGCACTGTATTGCCCTCTCATTCCCAAACTTTGACATTGCTATTTTGACATTCATTCAACATTTAAACCTACTACATGCTAGTTACTGAGACTACCAAGATGAACAGAAAGTAGACATGTTTGGGTGGAGGGTAGTGGGAAATGTTCTATTTTGGATATATTAAGTTTAAGATAGTAATAGGGACTGGATATGTTATTTTACTAGCATAGGGGACTCCCTGGTGAGAAAACTACCAATGCAGTTCAGCACCACCTCTGCAATTTGTAATATAAGACAGTTGTCTACATTATTGAGAGGACAGGTGACTTGGCTAGGGTTACACAGTATGTGTCAGAGGCTGAGTTTAAGATGCCAGTGGGAAAAAACCTACAAAGAGAAACCCAAAAGTCACTTCGTGATGTAGAACTGGGGTTTTGGAGCGAGATTCAGGTTGGTTATGCAGATCTGGGAGGTGTCTACATAGAGATGATAATTGCAACCATGGGAGTGAATGAGATGACCACAAGACAGTTCACAGAGCGGTCAAGATAAACCTTTCATGAACATCCCATACTGAGGTTCTGGGAAGGGGATGAATAAGTGGAGATAAAAAAGCAATTGGCCACGTAAGTAGGAGAAATGAGAAAGGAGTACATGATAGAGTACGTGGGAGGATGGGGTAGTCAACAGTGTTAAGAGCCTGGGAAAATTGAGGAAGATGAACACAGAAAATGCTGTTGGATGGAGTCCTCGAGATAATTGGTAATCTTTATGAGAGTAGTTTCAGTTCAAGGGTGGGTTCAGGAAACTTCTGAGTAGGAACAGGAAAAAGTGACGAGGATTAAGATGGAGGGTAGAATCAAGGAGAGCAAAATAAACTCCATCTTCAGAAGGTATATTCTGAAAGGGAGGCTTAAAAGGAAAGAAAGAAAAAGTAAAGACCTGTGATCAGGATCTTGGTAGGAAGGGAAGAGGGACAGTGGAGCAGAAGCAGACTTCAATTATAGCTTATTAGTGTTGGGTACAGTCCTGTCTCACTAGGGGCAGCTTGGTGATGTAGTGGATAGAGTGCTGAGCCTGCAGTCAGGAAGACTCTTCCATCTGATTTCAAATTTCAGACATTTATTAGCTGTGTGACCCTGGGCAAGTCACTTAATGATGTTTGCCTCAGTTTCCTCATCTGTAAAATGAGTTGGAGAAGGAAATGGCAGATCCCTCCAGTATCTTTGCTGAGAAAACCCCAAATGGGATCACGGAGAGTCAGACATGACTGAAATGACTGCACAACAGTCCTCTCTCACTAGTTTCTTTGTAAAGAGGAAATGTGGGTGAGAGGAATAGAGAAAAAAGTATAAGTGGATAGGATAGAGGGAAGTGCACAATAACAATCATAACTGAGAAAGTGAATGAAATGAATTCATAAAATGGAAGAGAAAATACTACATTAGGAAGCAGCATCCAATAAGATGTTGTTGACAAGAAACACTTGAAACAGATTCACACAGAATTCAAATAAAAGGCTGCAGCAGAATTTGTGCTTCTGGTGAACTAAAAAAAGCAGGAGGTAGCTATCATGATCTTAGACAATACAGCAATAAAAATAGACATGATTAAAAGATATAAACAGGAGAAATTGCACTATCTGTGTATTTGGTTTGCTTGAATCTGTTTATTTGTCATGAGGGACATCATAACAGAGAAGGCAGATGGTGAGAGTGACCTGAGGATGAGGATTAGTAGGGTGAATGATGGAAGCAGCAAGGAGAGGTGAAAAGACAAGAGAAAAGAATTCCAGAACTCAGGATTTCAAAGGGGGAAGAGTTTGGGTGATAGAGAAATATATGTCTATTAGAATGTGAACTCCCTACAGTCAGGAGCTGTTTTTGTTTTTCTTTGTGTCCTGGTGCCTTAACACAATGCCTTGCACATAGTAATAAATGTGCTGAATAAATGCTTGGTGGCTGACTGTGTTCCTTACCACCCCTGTTGAGTGAAATTAGAAATCGTAGAATTTAAGAGACTGATGAACAACATGAGGTTGTTCAAAGGGTTATCAGGATGGAAAGAGAGAGGGAGAAAGAGAGACAGACAGAGAGATGCAGAGAAAGACAGACAGGGACAGAGACAGAGAGGTAGAGAGAGACAGAGACAGAGAAAGACACACACAGAGACAGAGAGGTAGAGAGAGACAGAGACAAAGACACACACACACACACACACACAACACACACACACTCAAAGAGATATAGAGAGAAAGGAAAAGTTGAGGCAAAGAGAAAACTATGATCCTCATTCTGAACTCCTTGAGAAAGGAGGAAAAATGACCTTCTGGGAGCAAAAAGAATCTGGATGAGGTGATCTAGCAGACATCTTGGAACTTCAAAGGAGGGAAATACCTAGTGATGGTGGAGAGAAAGGATCTGAAAGTGACAGTGGCCAAGAGGATGGTCCTGCAATGATACTTTGATGAATGAATTCCCTGGACAGGAAGCTTTTTATATCAGTGGACTGTTTCTCCTGCCCAGACACTTTTTTCTGCACCCTCTTCCTCTGTGGAAATCCCATATCCTTAAGATTTACAGCTCCCAACTTTCTTCCCTTCCCCACCCATCCAAATAGCAAAGTATCTGCTATAATTGTGACCAATAATTGCAACACAGATGAAATATTCAGGTATTTGGGAAGGAGCAAGGTGTTACAATGAATAGAATGTGGGACGGGGAATCAAGAAGACCTGAGTTCAAATCCTGCCTCAAACACTCATTGCTATGTGACCCTGGGCAAGTCATTTAGCTTCTCTAAGCCTCAGTTTCCTCATTTGTAAAATAGGGAAAATAATAGTAGCTACCTCACAGGGAAGTTGTGAGGATGAAATATGTTAACATGAAAAGAGCTTTGCAAATGGTAAAGCCCTATGTAAATGGTAGCTATTATTATGAGGATATTTATCTTAATGAATTTACTCTTTAAGACTTATCTCATTTGGAAATAAAAGGCTTTAGATACTGGTAAAAGTATTTCCAATATTAGCAAGCAGGTTGAAAGATGTTGGGGGAGCAGGAGTGTCCCAGAAATTATATGAAGCCTACTTCCTTAGATCTAGGGGGAGGGGAGCCAGAATGGATGCTTCATACCTTTTTTCCCTTTCTCCTCTTCTCCATAACCCCA